CATTGTGTTTTTACACATTTATTTCCAGACTCAGTTTCTTCTCTGGTTTGAGTCATTAAAGAGGCCATTTGCTTGGCTTTGAATTGCTGGGACTTTCCTTCTTGCTGGTTCACTGCTTTGGAATCCTCCACAGAAACATGACCACATGTTCCAGTGCCTGAACAGTTTACAGGCTTGCTGCCTCCCCAAAGCCCCTGCCTGTCCTGTGCTCCCCACTAAGCACCTGCCTGGCCCTTCCACCCCACACTAAGCATGGCTGTTTTGGCATCAGCTCCCCTCGAAATAAGTCACCCCTGTGTAACATGGGACCTGCACCAACCAGGTATGAAAACGGAGTTCAGGAAATGCCACCTCAATGTTTGCCACACTGGACTTAACTGAGGGCAGTTGGGGAATGGCAAATGCTGGAAGGGGCTTTCTCTGGACATCTTCATCTGCTCAAAGACAGATCCTCCAGAAGGACCTCAACTGTCATGAACCCCTCCCTGGGAACCTGAATCACCAGGGAACCAAAAGCTGACATGTCACACCTGGATGCTCTGTTGCAGACTGTCACCTGTTCTTCCGAGGGCTTATTAATCTTTCCCAAAGGTCATTTACCCTCTCCTCAGTTGCCCCCATCCCTTTCGCTGTCCCCTGTGAAGGGAGTACTGAAGCTTCTCCACCTCACTGGGTTTGGAGGTTATTGGTTCTTCATTCAATGTGATGCCCCCATACATGTGAAAAGTTCATCTAAGCTCTTCTGTTAACCTGCCTACTGTCAGTTTATTTTGGACTCAATTACTGAAGCCTAGGGGGTAGAGGGAACTGTCTTCCTTCCGCTTCAAGAAGAACCAGTGCCACACCCACCCAGAGGCTGAAGAATCATCTGTGACTCAACACATTGCCAGTTTGGAGTTAGAGGTTTCCAGAAAGCATCACAGAACTATCTGGTCATGTACCAGAAATGTAGCTACTCCTCGAGCCAGCCCTTCAACAGTCTAGCAGCAAGTCTGTTCCCTGGAGTTTGGGAGAAATCAGGGAGGGAAGGAGGAACTCACTACTGAGCTTCCACCTGTCACAACCCGCAAGCACACCTTTCCCAGGAGGGAGGGACAGCAGAGATCATGAGTGCTGTGACCCCGGATCCAGCCAGGCCAGGCAGAAAGTGGGGCCCCACATCAACCACACCGCCAAGTGGAAGGGCCTGCTGAGGAGACTGGGGGCAAGCAGAGAAGGAATTTCCGGCCGTGACCAAGCAGTGCCTAAAAACCTATTTTAGAAAGTATGGCTTTCCTCTTCATCCTTTGTTGCTCAGAAGTTCTATGACATCGAAGACTATCTTCTAAGACTAGCCACCCACAAAAACTGGAAGCATTCCCTTGGAAATCTGGCACTAGACAAGGATGCCCTCTCTCACCACTCCTATTTAATATAGCACTGGAAGTTCTAGCCAGAGCAATCAGGCAAGAAAAATAAATAAAGTGTATTCAAATAGGAAAGGAGGAAGTCAAATTGTCTCTATTTGCAGACGACATGATTGTATATCTAGAAGACCCCATCATCTCCGCCCAAAACCTCCTGAAACTGATAAGCAAGTTCAGCAAAGTCTCAGGATACAAAATCAATGTGCAAAAATCACAAGCATTCCTATACACCAATAACAGACTTAAAGAGAG